TGAAATATGATGATTAGTACTTTAGATATCAGTAGAAAAGCTGAAAATTAATTATGCAAATTAGGTAATTAATATGCACAATTATTTACCCTAAAACTAATCAGGTCTCTGCATAGTCCTAAAGGATCTATGTACCAAGTTTCATTGAAATGCGATGATTAGTACTTGAGATACATGTGGAAAAGCTGAAAATTAACTAATTATGCAAATTAGGTGATTAATATGCACAAATATTTATCGAAAACAATCAATCTCTGCATAGTCCTTGAGTATGTAAGTACCAAGTTTCATTGAAATGTAATGCTAACTACTTATATCAAATGCTGAAAATTAATTAATTATGCAAATTAGGTAATTAATATGTACTGATATTACCATAAAAACTATCAGGTCTGTGCAGTGTCGTATGACATCTATGTACCAAGTTTCATTGAAATGTGATGATTAGTACTTGAGATATCAGTGGAAAAACCGAAAATTGACTAATCATTATGCAAATTAGGTAATTAGTATCCACGGATTATTACCAAAAACTAATCAAAACCTAGCATTAGTTCAGAGCATCTATGTACCAAGTTTCATCAAAATCCAATGAGTGGTTGTTTAGATATCAGTGGAACAGTCATGGAACCACTAAAAAATAGCTAATTATCATGCAAATTAGGTAATTAACGAGCATGGATTTTTACCAAAACCTAATCAAATCTGCGCATTGGCCCAGAGCATCTATGCACCAAGTTTCATCAAAAACCGATGTATGGTTCTTGAGATAGCAGTGGAACAGTCGGACACACATACACACATACACACATACACACATACACACATACAGACACACTAACTGCAAAGACTCCCATTTTGTGCTTCGCACATGGGAGTCAAAAAAGTAGTCACCTGGGTATCACAAGCAGTCATTGCATTGAGTGCTAAGTAGTAGGCTTCCTCTATGGATTCACCACAGACAAGAATACCATGGTTACGTAACACCAAGATCTGAAATATACGAAACATAATAAATATTAGCATTGAGGTCAAGTTCAAACTTGCTGGAGACATTTACTCATCATAGACTATTAACATTTTAAATAGTTAAAACGCACCTTATTTATTGGCCCAAGTGCCCGGGTGATTGAGTCTCTATCATTCTTGTCTACAAAGGGACCACAATAATCATGGAAAGAAATGTCGCCGACGAAACAGGCCTCGTCACAGCAACGCAATAATCCACACTTCATACAAGACACCTGCCAAAATACAATAATCAGTTTAGTTTTATTTAAATATAGAATAGGAAAGGAAGTTTTAAAATCCACAATAGCTAGTTACTCATCAAGTAGTCACTTGATTGTGATCCCCTCCAACAGTAGGCAGCAAATCAATGAATGGAGTCTGCAACATCTCGCCAATCATCAACCTCTCAATCAATGTTGCCCTCCAACAAAAATTGTTGAGTTCTCATTGGATGGCACCCCACCCATAATACCTGGCGGAATAGAAGTCAGAATCAGATAAGCTTGTCCACATCTATCGTTAATAAATGGACATTTAAAAAAGCTGAGGATATACTTACAGCCATAGCAGACGGTGTGTGGAGTTGAATAATGCACTTAATATCAGGTCTAGATGAGTGTATAGCAGCGTGGATACTCCAACCATTCTTATTTGGTGCATAGGTAGTAGTTCCAGTGTCTACAATATTACCTTGCATGTCAACTTTAACCAAACTAGATGCAGTTATCTCATGATATAACAGTCCAAATGGATTAACAAGGAAATGGTCAGCTTCATGTGAAATACGTACCTACAAATAACAGAAAGAAAATT